AAAAAAAAAAAAAAGGTCCTCCAATGTCAAGAAGGGAGAGTATTGACATGTCGTGGGGTTGTTAACCAATATCATAAAACAATACGTATACTGACTGTTTAATGAGAAACTATTTGTTCAGTAAACCTTCATCTAAAGTACAATAAGAAAAAACTAAAAAAAAAAAAGATTACAGCCAAGAAAACCCTATGGGGCAGTTCTACTCTGTTACATGGGGTCACTATGAGTCTAAAATTGACCTGATGGCACCTAATAACAACCAAGGAACAGAAGCTGAAAAGAGACAAGGACCTTCCCCAAGAGCTGACAGAGAGAGAAAGCCTTCCCCTACAGCTGGTGCCCTGAATTTGGACTTCTAGCCTCCTAACTGTGAGCAAATAAATTTTTACTCATTAAAGCCATTCGCCTGTGGTATTTCTGTAATAGCAGCACTAAGAAACGAAGACACTCTTCCAGCTGCCTCCCACTCTACTCATAAATGTTAATATCCCCCAGCCAAACACCATCAGGAACACTCCTATAGTTGAACTTTGGGTTTAGTGTTCATTGCAAGGAAGCAATGGGGAATGGTGGAGTATCTCTTAAGAGGATGTTAGAAAGAATTTATAGGATTTGGCTTGTGTTAGATGACCTTGGGGTGGGTTTAAGGAAGCAAGAGTCCCTGGGTGGTGCAAATGGTTAACATGCAAAAAGTTGGTGGTTTGAGTCCACCCACAGACACCTCGGAAGAAAACCCTGGCCATTTCCTAAAAATTAGCCACTGAAAACCCTATGGAGCACGATTCTACTCTGATACACATAGGGTAGCCCTGAGTCGGAATTGACTGGTTGGTTTGCTCTGGACTGGAGGCTGTCAAGCTGAAAGAAATGAAGGAAAAATTCAAGCCTCAAGTTTCAATAGTGAAGGATTCTATGGGGAAAATATTAAATGACACAGGGCGCATCAAAAGAAGATGGGAGAAATACAGTCATTATACCAAAAAGAATTGGTCGACGTTCAAACATTTCAAGAGGTAGCATATGATCAGGAACCGAAAGGTACTGAAAGAAGAAGTCCAAGCTGCACTGAAGGCACTGGCGAAAAACAAGGCTCCAGGAATTGACAGAATATCAACTGAGATGTTTCAACAAACATATGCAGCACTGGAAGTGCTCACTTGTCTATGCCAAGAAATTTGGAAGACAGCTACCTGGCCAACCGACTGGAAGAGATCTATATTTATACCTATTCCCAAGAAAGGTGATCCAACAGAATGCAGAAATTATCGAACAACATCATTAACATCATATGCAAGTAAAATGTTGCTGAAGATCATTCAAGAGCGGCTGCAGCAGTACATCGACAGGGAACTGCCAGAAATTCAGGCCAGATTCAGAAGAGGACCTGGAACCAGGGATACCATTGCTGATGTTGGATGGATCTTGGCTGAAAGCAGAGAATACCAGAAAGATGTCTGCCAGTGTTTTATTGACTATGCAAAAGCATTCAACTGTGTGAATCATAACAAATTAACGTTGCAAAGAATGGGAATTTCAGAACACTTAATTGTGCTCATGAGGAACCTGTACACAGACCAAGAGGCAGTTGTTCGGACAGAACAAGCGGATACTGCGTGGTTTAAAGTCAGGAAAGGTGTGCATCAGGGTTGTATCCTTTCACCATACCTATTCAATCTGTATGCTGAGCAAATAATCCAAGAAGGTGGACTATATGAAGAAGAGGGGGCATCAGGATTGGTGGAAAACTCATTAAAAACCTGCATTATGCAGATGACACAACCTTGCTTGCTGAAAGTGAAGAGGACTTGAAGTACTTACTGATGAAGATCAAAGACTACAGCCTTCGATATGGATTACACCTCAACATAAAGGAAACAAAAATCCTTACAACTGGACCAACAAGCAACATCATGATAAATGGAGAAAAGATTGACGTTGTCAAGGATTTCATTTTACTTGGATTCACAATCAACACCCATGGAAGCAGCAGTCAAGAGATTAAATGACGCATTGCATTGGGCAAATCTGCTGCAAAAGACGTCTTTAAAGTGTTGAAAAGCAAAGATGTCACCTTGCAGACTAAGGTGCACCTGACCCAAGCCATGGTATTTTCAATCCCATCATATGCATGCGAAAGCTGGACAATGATTAAGGAAGACCGAAGAAGAACTGACGCCTTTGAATTGTGGTGTTGGCAAAGAATATTGAATATACCATGGACTGTCAAAAGAATGAACAAATCTGTCTTGAAAGAAGTACAACCAGAATGCTCCTTAGAATCAAAGATGGTGAAACTACCTCTTACATAGTTTGGACATGTTGTCAGGAAGGATCAATCCCTGGAGAAGGACATCATGCTTGGTAGATGGTCAGATGGATTGACACAGTGGCTGCAACAATGGGCTCAAGCATAACAATGATTGCGAGGATGGCACAGGACCAGGCAGTGTTTCATTCTGTGGTGCATAGGGTCGCTATGAGTCGGAACCAACTAGATGGCACCTAACAACAACAACAGGAAGCAGGGGTAATTCTATGATTGGGTTATCTTAACAAATCTTAACTATAAGGTGGGAGGAATGACGCAAAGCTAAAGCTATAATTGGCATAGAAGCAGCAGGCATTCATAGTAGTCAAAGTAAATGTTTTATCATTTATCTCGATTAGACAATTACTCACATTTTTGTCTGTGCTTAGACATGATCTTGTTTTTATCTTGATCTATCATAGTCATAGAGTTGCCTTGTCTGATGTCGATGTTTTGTGGAATTATTTCGAGTTTTCAACTGAACATCAAGGCCTAGCTGATAGTACGAGGCCAGCTTCCAGATGACAGTGGCTGCTTTTCTCTTAAAAAAAACACAGCCATTCCTAACTTTGCCCAAGCTGTTCCTTCAGCTAGGATGTTCTTCTCTCTCCCCCAGCCAAACCCTGGCCTGGTGGGACGCCCGCCCACACTTACGAGGATCACTGCCTTGGCCTTTGGCTGAAGTTTAAGACACAAGACCTCAAAGCACCCTTAGCTACATGCCCACCAGCCCATCACGGGCCGCAGGCTGGTCCCTAGGCGGACACACAGCAGGTTTGGGAAAGTCTGTTAAAAGCCGACAGCTCCAACCGCTCTCCAAAGAGCAGCTCAAATTCAACGGACCTGGGGAGGTACTCGATACGAACCGCAAGGCTGGCGGACAGGAACACCCCCCATTTCCACAGCAGCTGAGCGGATATCTTTCTCCTAAGCAGTCTCCCCCAACCCAACCACACCCTGTCCGGTGCAGCCAATCCCAAAGCCGGAGCCGCCTTCACCACCAATAAGAAGTCAGTGAAGGCGGGAGCCAAAGCCTTGATTGGCACCTGGTCTCTCAGCAGAGGCCCGGCAACACCGAGTCTGGAGAGGCCTCAAGTTTAGTGGCTTGGCACTGGCGGCCATCTTTACTTCTGGCAAGCCGCGGACTTGGACTAGATCAGGCCCATCACGTGGGTGACAACCCATTTCGGGAAAGGAAGGGAGCATTCTACGCCCTCTAGGGAGCGGATGAGCCCCTCTCCTCACTTTCCCCAGCTCTCCGGGCGCGCCTCCGCTTTAAGGAAGGGGCGTGGCCTCTCCCACAGGGGCGGTTCCGGAACGAGAAGCTTGTTCGAAAGCCGTGAGCGTATTTGGCGGGAAGTTGGCTTCGCTGGGCTACCTGTGGCTCTCCTGCCTTTCCTGGTCCCTGTCTTGTTTCTCCCCAGAGGCCTCTCAATCCCCATTCCATGATCTCGGCATAGGGTCCCGTGTACTCCTTCGCCCGGAAGACGCGATGGCTCCCAGGAAACGACCAGAAACCCAGAAGACCCCTGAAGTTCCTAAGTGCCCCAAGAGCAAGAGGAGCAGAAGTCCTCAGGAGCTGGAGCAAGAGGCCAAGAAACTCTTTGTGAAAGGCCCCGGTACTGTCTGTGCCTGCTGCCTTAATGTTTCCGCCATTTGGGGTTGTGACGCAGGAGACTGGGGTCGGGGAGGGGATGCTCCGAGGTTCCTAAGGCTGTCCGAAGTTACGGACGCCTCAGTCTGTGCATTTTGCTTGCAGATCCTTTGACACCTGCCAGCTTTGAGACCCGAGAACATGGGCTTAACTCCCCGTAGGTGAAGAGAAGACGTAGATAAGCTCCATTATAACCGGCAAAGAGTTTTTTAAGTTCCTTGCCCTGGTGGGGCAGTGGTTAAGCGTTCGGCTTCTAACCAAAAAGGTCAGCAATTCGAATCCACCGGCTGCTCCTTGGAAATCCTATGGGGCAGTTCTACTCTGTCCTGTAGAGTCGCTATGAGTCGGAATCGACTCGACAGCAACGGGTTTAGTTGTTTTTGGTTTTGTTTGTGCTAGGATCTTTCCACACGGAGAACTGCTTAAAATAATCCTACCTTGCCTGGTAGTGTGTGCTGAATTTCGGTAGTCATGATTGTTAGCTGTATGTCCTTGATTTAGGCTGTGAGCCCTCAATTTCTCTCCTTCCTTAGAAAGCTCATTCCTTGAGGCTTTTGCGGGCTTGAACCTGGGACTATAAGGAGTGTCGGGAGTCTCAGAGACTGAAGCAGGGAATTTTTGACGAAGTCTTTTTTTGGTCTATAAGTAGAATTGATTTTCAAGAGACTGGATCTATATAGATCAGGTCCTCAAATGCAGTTTGGTAATATAGAGCTGCTTTATTCCTATTCTAAGTGGATTTACCTCCCCGGAGCAAGCCTGGTTTCCTTAGAGCTAGTCCAGATCCTTTGGATGCTGCTGGCTTCCAGGAGGAGGAGACAGGATTTTGGCCGACAGCTGGCCACCTCTACATTATCTTAATACAGGATTTAAATATTCTTCTTTTCCTAAACAGTGATTTCTACTAGGCTGTCTTAAAATCTTTTTATTGCACACCATATGTGATTTTAAAATTGTCACCCATCTTATCTCTAGTTTCCCAGCTCAAACTGGGAAGTGTTCTGCAATGTACTTTATTTATGCATTGTTTCTTTGGCTCAGGAAGCTTGCAAGATCATGTTTAGCTTTCACTTCAGAATTACTGTTTGGACAGGTAGGGGGTTATAAAGGGGTAGAATCCCTACTCACTGCTTATTATTTGTGCTAGGTGAAGCTAAGCAGATCATGGAAGTGTCATAGATTGGCTATGCTGAATGAAGCAACAAAGCTTTCTAGATTCCGTTAGAAAGATCTTTCCTAAGTGAGATGAGAGAGGAAAATACGTGTCTGTTCTGTTTTGACAGGTTCTAGCAGAAGACATGACTCAGGCTGTCTTTGGGCAGGATTGGCTAACCTGCAGGTTCTGCCGCCATACAGTAGCCTTGTCAGGGCCCTCCACCAGCATAAGCTGGGCAAAGCTGCCTGGCCGATGCTGCAGCAGGTGAGGTGTTTCCTGGCTGAAATGCTCGAGGGTTTGCATGGTGCCTTTTTACTATTAGATGCTCCAAAATTAGATGATGGGTTGGTTGGCAGGTTGGCAGAGTAGTCAGATCACTCTAACCTTGGTGACTGGCCTGTGGGCACCCAGCCAGGTAGAAGTAAAGGTCCCAGCTAGCATGAACTCTGCCCCCTTGCTTTCCAAGATTAGTTCACATACATTGCAAATACTGGTTGGGGAGGAGGGTGGTATTTTCAGGCACAGGGCCAAGCAGTTTTCTTTGGTGGGAAGATTTAGAGATTGGCAGTTTATCCAGGACTTGGATATTAATTCAACTTCATTCTTTTCTCTCTGTGTCAGAGTCTCCAGCAGTCCTTTTTGCACTCTCTGGCTTCTTACCGGATATTCCAAAAGGCTGCCCCCTTTGACAGGAGGGCCACATCCTTGACATGGCACCCGACTCACCCCAGCACCGTGGCTGTAGGTTCCAAAGGAGGCGATGTCTTGCTCTGGAACTTTAACACAAAGGACAAACCCACCTTCATTAAAGGGGTGAGCAATTCCCTCTGCCAGATAGTAGTGGTAATGAAGTGTTTGTGGAAGGGATGAAAAGTCATCCAGTTACAAGGAGATGATTAGGATCAAAAGTAACTGGGTATATTCAAACATGTAAATGATGATGGTACTCTAAATTTATTGAATGTCTGCCCTTAAAATATAAGAAGGTATAAAATGTTGATCGCCCTGAAGTAAATCACCACTTGGAATAGAATTGAAGCCACTTTTTACCTGTTTGGCCTCATCTTGTACTACTGTCTTTCCTCACTTCTTATGCTTTTACCATACCCACTATTTCTATTCCTGAAACTGGGCCTTTGCACTTAGTGTTCCTTTTGTCTGGAATGCTCTTTCCCATGATCCTTTCATGGCTGGCTCCCTCTTATTTTCTGTTCTCTGCTCAATAGTACCTCTTCAAAGAGGCTTGCACTGACCACCCTCTCTAAAGTATCCCCTACCCCACCCAGCCACTTCCTATCTTATTGTCGTTAGGTGCCGTTAAGTTGGTTCCAACTCATAGTGCCCCTATGTACAACAGAACAAAATGCTGCCCAGTCCTACGCCATCCTCACAGTCATTGCTATGTTTGAGCCCGTTGTTGCAGCCACTGTGTTCCTATCTTATTACCCTGCTGTATTCTCCTCTCCCCCAACAATTATCAATATTTGAAATGTTTTACTTATGTGTCTATTTGTATGCCTTTGCCCATGGGAAAGTGAGCTCCATGGTGGCAAGGACCTTGTCTTTCTGGTTCATCACTATCCCCAGTGCCCAGAGCAGTGTTTGGCCTGGAGTAGCTGCTTTGTATTTGTTGAATGAATGAGGGGCTTGAAGTGTAACTGGGCAGTTGGGTGTATATGTAAAAGGTAATTAACAGTCCAGATGCTAAATGCTACAGAACGTAAGAGAGGGAAGAACCCCTTGTGAATCAGAGTTGATGGAGAAAGCCTTGTGGAGGAGAGAGGCGTAAAGAAGAAAAATATTTAGATACATGAAGAGCAAAGGGGGAAAGGCATAGTCTGCTTGGCATAGAGCTTTTTCGGGATGGTCTCACGTGTGCTAGTCTTGATCATCAGTTGCTGAGGGGTGAATGTGTTGGCCCCTCCACCAAAGAGAAGACCTTTAGCTTGCCTAGCTGGTGGCTAATGTTGGAGGGCTGTCCTGTGAAAAGTGACATGCTGGATTTAGATCAGGGGTCACAAACTCCTCTGCCTAAACAAGCCAAACAGATCAAAGAAATGAATGATGTGGGATCAGTGTCACTGATGAGCTGGAGATGGCTGCCATGCAAGAATGTAGGTCCCAAAGTTTATTAGTGGTTACCAGGGGTGGGAGGGAGGGGGGAAGGAGGAAGCATTGAATTTCTGTTTATGGTGATGGAAATTTTGGCAACAGATATTGATGATGGTTGCATAACGTGATTAATGTAGTTCGAAAACCCATTCCTGGCAATTAAATAAAATTAAACACGTTCTGACTCATAGTGACTGTTTAGGGCAGAGTAGAACTGCCCCATAGGGTTTCCAAGGCTGTAATCTTTATGGAAGCAGACTGCCACATCTTTCTCCTGCAGAGTGGCTGGTGGGTTTGAACAGCTGACCTTTTGGTTAGCAGCCGTGCGCTTACCCACTGCACCACCAGGACTCCTTATAAATGTAATTAGTGTCACTAAATTGTACGCGTGAAAAATCTTAAACTGGCAATTCTGTTATAGATATATAACAATTAAAAAAAAGAATGTAGGTACAGTGGTAACAGATATGATTTTTCAAATAAAGCCTGAAATCCTGATTTTTTAGATGAAATTTTCTGTTGGCAATTAAATAAAATTAAACACACTCTGTAGGCTAAACAGAACACGTCTGTGAGCTGGATTGTGCTAGCTTACCATTTTGCCATCTCTAGTTTAGAGAAAGACGAGGCATGGGTGAAGCCAGGATGCGGTCTCTAAGTGGAGGAGTTTGGCGAACGGCCCATCAGAAAAGGCCAGACTAGACAGGTTTGGGAGATCAGGAATCAAGGTGTGAGATGGGGTGTGGGAGAAAACAAGTGCCTGAAGGCAGAAGAAAGGAAGCCAGATGAGGGCTGTGAACGGAGCTCAGCGTGCTTGCTGCCCAGCTGTTGAGGCAGATGACTACCAGGATGGCAGCTTTAGACTGAAATCAGAAGCCAGATTACAGGCAGGAAGAGATTTGTTTTTCCAGGAATCTAGGTCATGGGAATAGAGAAATTTAGTCTAAACCTGGAGGTGGTAAGACGTCGTCTAAGGGTGCCCTTGGGTAAGAGCCATCTGATGAAACTGTTTTAAACTTGTGCCAGGCCAGGACTGCTTTTGGTTTGCATCACCTTTATTACAACGTGCATGCAACTAAAGTTTCCTCACGCTGTAGTGAAGATTGGTCTGGGAAGCTGAACTTTGTGACTAGCAGTTTGGAGCAGAGGAAGGGTATGGTTGTCTGGAGGAGAACTCTGTTTTTACTCTGAAATGCTGACAGCAGAAAGTTGACTTGAGACCAGTTACTGGGGGAGCAACTTGTTAATTCATCTGACCTTGGCTGATCTTTGCATCTTTCAGGTACTAGGCAAGGGAACATGTATTACATTTTTAAATGAAGATTGCTTTATATTTTCTTATAAAAATTCTCTGTGCTCATTGTAAAAAAATTCAAACAATACAGAGAAAAGTATAAAGAATAAAATAAATATGACCTGAAATCCTACCTTTCAGGTATAAGCACTGTTAACCTTTTGGTGAATGCCACCTTGTTAATCCCTGTGCGTGTATACACTGTTACACAACCCGTTCTTCTACTTACCTTGTTACATAAATATTTTATCCTGGAATCTGTTGTTTTTTATTATGTCAGATATTCTAGTTTAATCATATCATACCAGATGGTGACCATTTAAAAATATCCTGTAATTTTCTTTTTCTTATAATGCTCATGGTTTTGGTATTTGAGTAATGCTGGCCTCATAGAATGAGTTGGAAAGTGTCTTAGTCATCTAGTGTAGTGCTGCTCTAGCAGAAATACCACAAGCGATGGCTTTAACAAAGAGAAGTTTATTCTCTCACAGTCCAGTTGGCTAGAAGTAAAAATTCAGGGCGTCTGCTCCAGGGGATGGCTTTCTCTCTCTGTCGGCTCTGGAGGAAGGTCCTTGTCCTCAATCTTCCCCTGGTCAAGGAGCTCCTCAGGAGCAGAGACCCCAAGTCCAAAGGACACGCTCTGCTCCCAGTGCTGCTTTCTTTTTTTTTTTTTATTTTTTTTATTTTTTTTTAATTGTACTTCAGGTGAAGGCTTACAGAACAAATAGTTTCTCATGAAACAGAAGTACACATGTTGTTTTATGACATTGGTTAACAACC